CTGCAGCACTGCTTTGCAGGTCTGGGGGATCTTCCCCAGTAAGTGCTAGCACCTCACTTAATCCACACCACCACCAGGACAGACTATGTGGTAAAGATGAAGAAACAGGATTTAGGGAGGTTCAGGAAGTGCCCAAGCTCACCCTTTTAGTAGGCTGTGGAAATGCTGCTGAATCCAGACCCAAGCTGGTAACTATGCACCTAATTTGGTTGGTAAGGTTAGGGGCACTTAGTATGGGCTAAGCACTGTGCTAACTGCTTCATCTCATCTAACTCTCAGCACTGCCCAATACTGCCTCCCCAAACTCCTGATGCCTCTGCTCACAATGGGCAGGGACCAAGAATCAGCCATGTGGACACCATAGGTCTGCCTTGGCGGTGCCAGAAAGTTAAATCCCACTGCAATACCACAATCTGCCGAAGTCCTCAAAGGCAAGCATTTGACCACAGCGACACAGCCAGGCTTCTGAGTTGTATTTTCTAAGTTTATTTTTGGTTATTTATTTTTACAGTCCTCAGCAGCAGAGTTTGCTAAAGTGAATCAACAGCAAAGCCCCCAAGTCGGTTCAGCTTCTGACAGTGAAGAAAAGAGACTCAACAACTAACAGAGGAAACTCTGCCCCAGGAGCCAGGCATCTGACCGCATTTGCAGGTGGGAACCAAGGTCCCAAACTGCCCAGAGCCCCAAGGGCATGTTTTTCTCAGCAGGCGAAATTTCTGACACATGCTGAACATCTTACGGTGTAAACAGAGGAGATGCTGCTAAACAAGCCAAGATGAACACTGCCAGGTTCACATAGTGTGCTGCTCCGCTGGTCTCCATTCACAGTGGCTTACGCACAGAAGAAAAACACCATCACCACTGGCAGAAGTTCTAAAATTGGGTTGTTATCCTCTCCGAATTAATAATACAAAAAGTTAGAAGTTGCTAAAATGCAGGCAACAATACCAACATATTTTTATAAAAACAATGGAAATGAGAAAGCTTATTAAATACATTCATTTTGACTTTGTTCCCTTATCAAAATATTCAGAAGTAACCAACGCTGCTGTGGATTGCTACGATTCTTATAAGGGGTACAACGTTTTAGCACCATTTATGTGAAAACAGTCAAGGCATTTTTCAATATGTAAATGAAAGCTCCTAAAATTCAGTATAAAATATGATTTTGAAGTTCAGAATTAGGCTCAAGTATTTCTGCTTACTAGGAGAACTGCCAAGTCCACTGTCAAGACTGAGGACATTTTAAGCCCTGTGTCTCTTCCTTGTACTGATCCATGTTTCGGCAGTCTCATTTCTGACCCAAACTTATACCAAGCAAGTCAATGAGATTAATTGAGAAAACACAGCATCCTCCTCCATTAATGCCACTGAATGCTATTAAAAAACATTCAGAATGCTTAAACAAACTGGTGGCCATGAGGTCTAGGACCAGACATACATCATAAATGATGTATTAATATAACATTTCAATACAATTAATATATGTGTTTCTAGATTTAATCACCACTCTATATATTTCCATTATATATACTAAAACCCATTCCACCATTCCCAGTAATAGATTTCAATATACCCTGAAAAAATACAATACATGGGGTCAGACACGGTGGCTCATGCCTGTAATCTCGGCACTTTGGGAGTCCAAAGCAGGTGGATCACCTGAGGCCAGAGCTCGAGACTAGCCTGGCTAACATGGTGAAACCCTGTCTCTACTAAAAACACAAAAATTAGCTGGGAGTGATAGTGCATGCCTGTAATCCCAGCAATTCAGGAGGCTGAGGCAGGAGAACTACGTGAATCAGGAGGCAAAAGTTGCAGTGAGCTGAGATCGCACAACTGCACTCCAGCCTGGGTCACAGAGCAAGACCCTTTCTCAAAAAATATATACACAGCTGGGCGTGGTGGCTCACACCTGTAATCCCAGCACTTTGGGAGGCCGAGGCGGGTGGATCACGAGGTCAAGAGATCGAGACCATCCTGGTCCCGTCTCTACTAAAAATACAAAAAATTAGCTGGGCATGGTGGCACGTGCCTGTAATTCCAGCTACTCAGGAGGCTGAGGCAGGAGAATTGCCCGAATCCAGGAGGCAGAGGTTGCGGTGAGCCGAGATTGCGCCATTGCACTCCAGCCAGGGTAACAAGAGCGAAATTCCGTCTCAGGGAAAAAAAAATTTATATATATATATATAATACAATACATGGGGCAGTTCGCCTCCACCCTCCCAAAATACTGCTGGGTTCCAAGCTGTGAGGACACATGCACATAAAGAAAGGTGTGCTATGACTGCAGACCAACACACATACACACATGCACACATGCACACACACACACACACACACACACACAACCCTCCTGGTCATGGGCAAGCCCAACTCACCCCTATTGCTAGTGACTTAAAGGAAAAGCTAGAGGTGGCAGGCTGTCAAACCAATTTAGTTTTGCTCCTTTTCATGGCTTCAAGTTATAAACTGAATTACAAAAATGTTAATAATCAGCTCCCTGTGTCTTTCCTCACACGTTCACTAAACCACTGTTCTGTTCAATGTGGCACTGGCTCCCTGGTCTTTCCATCCTCTTAGATAATGTCACAAATGAGGTTTCCCAAGACAGTTAAACATTAAAAATATATACTTCTGTTAAATAAGGAACTTACATTTTAGAAATAGGAATTTGTAAAACATATACAGATAAGGCCTTCCATTCATTAGATTTTTATTCTTCTATAACTTAAGCACAGGAGGTCTGTCTAGCATCTGTAGTTTTGTTCTTGAATGGCATTTTAACATTTATTCTAGAATTAGTTCCCATCTTGAGTTCACTTCTTGGAGGTCCTTGAACTATTTTTAAATTACTTGGTAGTGTGTCTTGCCTTTGTCGAACTATTTGGTAATTCTATGTACTTCACATATATTTCACATTCACTTCGCACACACTCAGGGCTTTCTTTTTAAGTACTCACAGATCTTATAGAAAGGCATTTCTTTTTCTGCATGTCTACAAATAAGATTCCCCAATGGTTTATGCTTCTGACTTTTAAAGGGGAGTACCTACAAAGTACTGCTTAAGAAAAAGAGGTAAGAAAATGATCCAACTGTACTTTAGTATCCAAAAAGGACACAGCCAAGAAGTCTATGTAAGTCCTATGTAAACACTGAGATGGTAGGAGTGTTGTATCATTAAAGGTGATACAGCACTTCACAGCCTCTCTCTTGAAGATCTTCAGAAACTAGACTAACTCTTAAGTAAAAGAGCACATTGTGGGGAGAGGGAGGACATGATGAGTAACAACATAGGATGAATAACAACAACAAAGACCAAGTACATAAAAACTCACAAATGTTTTTCCCAACAGAGATGTTATCAATTCATGTGGCTTGAGATTTTAGCTGATAAGCTCCAAAAGTGGAGGGGGGGAAAAAAGATACCAAGGCAATGTCTGTTCTCCTTAAACAAACAAAAAAATCTTATCAGACATTAACTGAATATAAAATAGAGTAAGAAAAGTGTAAATGGCTATATAAAGAAAAAAGGATTCATCCTGTTCCATGCATTGAAAACATTTTCATATACTCAGTATTCTAAGGAAGAGGAACTGCAAACACTTTTGATCCAATCCAGGCCTGAATCATCAGTTACAGACCATGTATAACTGGCTTCTTGTTCTCCAATGTAACCATCCTTGTTCCTTGTGGATGAGCAACAGATGTATATGCACAAGGAGCTCAGGATGTAAGGAGGGGAATCTGAAAATGTTCTAGAAAAGCAATGTTAATTCCATGAAACATAATACAGGGAAATTATTTTATGTTTAAATTCACCTTAAATGAGCTCACAGGTGTAAAAGTCATGCCTCCTTAAGATGGAGGTAACTTTTCTGCCAATACATAGGGTCCAAAACTCCTAAGCTCTTGCAAGAAACTCTGGGATAGAAAGTTAAGCATAGTATAGTTCCTACTACATTCCTTTATTCTTAAACACTTTATCATTTTGAAGATTGCTCTAAGTGGGACATTCTACTGAATTCATTTGATCTCCATTTAACTTCTAATCTGCTGATGTCATCTGACCAGCTCAATACCAAGAATGAGAAATGGAACTAAGATTCTGGGCAACTAAAGTTGCATATTGCAATAAAAAATTTTTATTTTTAAAGTTGATCAATCATTTCTATTCCCTGAAGTACTATTTCTTTGAAAGCTTTGCTTCTCTGACGCCATGATCCCACTAAACCTAAACAAGAGTCTCATAGATTCTGACAAGGGTGTCAGACAGAAAGTAACATAAAAGAAACATCCTTTTGCTCAGAAATCCAATTGAAGTTCACTAAGTTGAGAACATTTTCAAAATGCAAAGATAGGTGACTATTAACATGAGTATTATTAAAATTCAATGACATCTATGAACTAATTGTCAGATTTAATGTACCTGAAGGGCACAGATTCCTGCTGCTACGTATATTTGATATGAATGTTTCCAGTTGTGCCTTCAAAAATATCAGAAATGAATGGTAAGCATTTCCTGTTGTGCAATCCCATATACTTCAATGAAAAATCAAAGCCAATAAGAAGTCATTATTACTTTAATTTGGCTTCTAGGCACCTTCTTATTCAAGGCACAATTGCATTTCACAGTGAAAAACACAAAGCCTCTCCAATGTATTCATATACATTCAGGGCAGAATTTGATTTCAACACTCTAATCAATAAACATTTAGCAAAATGTGGTGAAATTACTGATGAGGTAATGGGAGAATGCTAAAGTAACAGTCTGAATAGTTTTGTGCATCCTGAGTTTTCTTAACTAAAGAAATTGAATTACAAAATTCAGTACATAAAAACTCACAAATGCTTTTCCCAACAGAGGTGTTAACCAATTCATGTGGCTTGAGATTTTACCTGAGAATTTTGATAATTACAAAATTCAGTTTCTTTAATTAAAAACAAAATTTACATTTTCAAAAAAGGTTTGCCTCAAAAAGAATTGCTTCTAAACTATATTAAATTGGACCAAATAAAGATTTTAATATTATAAAACAAAGCTCAGTACTTCAGGGAAACACCACCTCCACAAATGTTGAGCCAATTCAGGGGCTGCCAGTACAATCCTGTTGTCTCTGATTCACGTGAACACCATCTGCAGTCCACAGCGAGGCCAGTTCAGGCCATAAGGCAGATCATGCTCAGGAGAGTTGCCCCTTCACCACCCAGTCACCATCCTTAGCCTGACTGGGCAGATGATGGTTCATAGCCAAGAAGGCTGCCTCTCTCGGGCTTCTCAACCAATCAAGGGCATAGGCAGCTCAGCCACACTTTTGCACTCATATTCCTACATGCTTCTGCTTAATGTACTCGTGAAAAATCTGAGATGGTTTGCTGTCACTCATCCCCTGCCCCAGATGGGTTACACAGATCTGACAATGGACATACCCTCCAACACAGCATGCAAAGAGCACAGGAAAACCTGGGTCCAGCTCAGCCCTACATCAAAGTAATTTGGCCTCGGTTTCCTCCTTTGAAAACAGGTGGATAGAAACTGTCTGGCTATAAAATCATGAATCTATGGAACTGAAGAATAATTAAAGCTTCCAACACTAAAGCACAAAGGCAAGTAGTGTCTGTCCACACTGATGGTGCACCACCTGCACCAAGCCCCGGACTCCAGTGCACTGGAGACATCGGACACCTGTCACAATCACAAGGAGGAAGCAGTTGTAGGTTCCCTCATCACTCCCTCCTACGGCTCCTCCAGTCTTCAAAAATGCCTTGAAATAACCCACTCTGGGACCCAATTCTTAATCTGCTGCAAGACAATCTGCTTAAAATAGCCTTAATTAAGATGTAAGTCTAAACCATTGCTCTTCTCTTCATAAGAAGATGAGATTACCACAGGTTGTCATGACTATGCCAGTAACAGATCCATCTCAGAATTATACCACTTAAAGCAGACTGTTAGAGGCCCCCTTAGTGCAGTGGGCAGCACATCCATCTCATAATCTGAAGGTCCTGAGTTAAAGCAGACTGTATAGGGAGTTCTACAGAAAATCATTACTACTAGAGAGGGGAAAAATACTGTCTTAAAAAACTTAGAAGCCAGTGTACCATTTGAGAGAGCTTTGATTTGAGATATAAAGAACATATTCCTTTCCAAAACTTAGTTTCCTCTGATACAAAAGTATTTGCCTTCTGGAAAAGATATAGTTTGCACTGTCCAACAGGTGTGCTCTGAAGGCCCCCAATGAAATATATTGCATCAAAGATGAGGGGAAAGACTTGGTTAATTTCTCTTATCAAAAGCTAATCTTCAGGACATCCTGTCCAACTTGGCTCCCAGGGCCCCAAGGTTCTCAAAGATTGTTCTTAGAGACCCCTCAGGCCTGCAGCCCAAACCCAGCAGCCACCTGTGCATCTTGGCCACATCACCAGGCTGTCAGGAGCATGCGTCTCTCACAGACTGGTCTCCTCACACACTCTGACAGGGATATTATAGTGGCGATCGTCCTCAGCAATGAGCGTTACCACTGGCCAGTCCTTGGGTGGGTCGGTAGGGTAGACTGTGATGAACTCCTCTGTGCTGTACTTAGAGAGCCGGTACACCTGGATTGTGTGGCGCACAGCATAGGCAAGAAGGAACATTTCAACCTGGGAAGAAAGAACAAACAGGTATTCTAAGGAAGATCACACTGAAAGATGTGGCTTAACGCCACGTTCCATCCATTATCCCACAACGCACAGCAAAGGTGAAGCCACAGCCTTTTTTTCCTCCCCCATGGGCCCAGCCCCAATCCTTTTCTATTTAAAAGAAAAGGGCAGATAACCAAGAATGAATCATATGTCTGTTAAGGGACCTGTATCCAGAATAAAGAACTCACAACAATTAACAAAACAAAAAAACAAATAACCAGCTTAAAAATTAAGCAAAAGTTCTGAAGACACCTCTCTCCAAAGAAGATATACAACTGACCAACAAAACACATGACAAGATGCTCAACACTGTAAGTCATTAGAGAAACGCAAATCCAAACTACAACGAAAGACAGTACCTCACACCCACTAGAATGTTTATAACCAAAAAGATGATAATGGGGAGTGACTGCTTTATGAGTACAGGATTTTCTTTGGGGATGACATGTTTTAGGACTCCATATAGGTGGTGGTCACTGTCAGTGTACTAAATGTCAATGAGATGTATACTTTAAAATGGTTAATTTTATGTTATATGAACTTCACCCCAATTAAAAAAAAAAAAAAAAAAAACAGAAGTGTTGGTGAAGATATGGTAAACGGGACACTGCTACATTGCTGGTGAGGATATGAAATGGTGCAGCTGCTTTGCAAACAGTTTGGCAGTTCCTCAAAATGTTAAAGAATTATCATATGACCCAGCAATTCCACTCCTAGGTGTATGCCCAAGAGAACTGAAAACATATGTTCACATAAAAAAAATTATATATGTATGTTCATAGCAGGGTTATTAGGGTTATTCACAGAACTAAAAAGTAGAAACAATCCAAATACACATCAAACTGATGAAAAGATGAGTAAAATGTGATCTATCCATACAATAGGATATTACTTATCAATAAAAAGGAATGAAGTACTAATACATGGCACAATATGGATAAAATCTTAACAAACAGTATGCTAAATCAAATAAGCCATAAACAAAAGACCATATTACTCCATTCATATGAAATGTCCAGAATAGGCAACTCCATTGAGACAGAAATTAGATTAGCGGCTGCCTAGGATTAGAGGAAAGAGAAAGTGATTACTAATGGGTATGGGGTTTCTTTCTGGGGTGACAAAATGGTCTAAAATTAGACTATAATGACAGTTGCAAAACTTTTTAAAAGAGTAAACTTTACGGTATATGTAATTATATTTCAAAAAAGAAACTGAAAATTTCTTATTAAAAAACAAAAAAGAATGTACTTACCATCACAGCGGATCTTACAGGGTCTCAGAAAAGACTAACTTTAATCTAATATACAAACCAACCTCTACAAGCATTTTTATTGCATGGTACTTGGTATGGTTTGAGATGTTAAGTACCACATTATGACTACAGATAATTTTTCAAAATAACCATCATCAGCCCTGCCTGACCCAGCAGTGACCATTAGTCTCCACTCCTTCCTACACACCTGGGAATAAAAGAAGAGACTTCACACTCCAGGACAGCTCAGAACGGAACCTAACTCAGCTCTCTAATCCTTGCAGTATCTGTCCTGGCACTTGGGCCTTTTTGGACAAAAGCAAGCACAAGAGTCAATTATGCAAGTAGGAGGGTGGCACTTTGATGAACAGCTTAATGCTACTTTAGTGGTTGGCTATTCCACTAAAAAAAAAAGCCTCATTAAGACTTTTTAGGGAAATGAACACATCAAAGATAGCAAAGACAGCACAAGGTGTGGTGACTCAACTATATTGGCTTTAGAGACAGTACTGCACTCAGTTTCTGTGTAAAACTCCACATTTAACATATCTGTAAAAGATCCAAGAGCGGGCTGGACTCTACTGGCTAAGGAGACTCCATTTCTCTTTTTAATGCAGCTACAGCTGCCAAGATTAAACAAGACCCTTCAAACGGCTCTTCCAAGAACTTCATTTATTTGTAGCCTCCCAGAGCCAAGAGTACTAATCCCATCCACCACTCTGAAGAATAAAGCCCAGGTCAAGATAATGGTGGTGACTAAAAAGTACATTCCACAATTCTTTCATACTCCTCACTCAAAATGGTGGAGCCAAATTTCCCTCCTCTTGAGAGTGGAATGCATTAAGTAATTTGTTTCTAAAAAGTAGAATACAGTGTAGCAGTGTGTGACTTCCTGGAATAGAGCATAAATGGCATTGTGTCTTCTTTCTTGCTCTCTGCTTAGATCACTCTGAGAAGCCAGCTGCCATGTTGTAAGGACACTTAAGCAGCCCTCTGGAGGCCTATGTGTGTGGAACTGAACCCTCCTACTAACTACCAGTAAGGAACTGAAGCGTCCTGCCCACAGCCACATGAATGAACAACATTGGAAGAAGATCCTCCAGCCCCAGTCAAGCCTTCAGATGACTGCAGCCTCGAACATACAACTGCAACCTCATGAGATCGACCCTGAGCCAGAACCATCCCTGAATTTCTGACCTATAAAAACTATGCCATTAAGTTTGATCAGTAAAGCTGCTATATTTTGGGGTAGTGCATGCTCAAAAGCACAACTCACCTGTTCAAGACCACCAGTGTGTCCCACTTGGTTTAGGTGGTTCCTCAGCAGCTGTCCTGGGTCATTTGATGTGTCCCGAGCAAACAGAAGCACAGAGAAAAATGGTACTTCCTTTCCTTTCTCTTTATCATTATACAGTTCAATGGCTCTGTTTAGCATTAGAAATTTTACAGCTTCATAGAGGCTATATTCTTCCTCTTCATTTGTGAATAGTTCATCACAAGCTATCTGTCTTGCTTCAGCAGTTCTCATTTCAGCCAAGCCTGCCCACTACAATAAGAAAGTTATGTAATAATTACAATTTTTTGTTCTAAAAATCCCTGGTATAGTACCATACTATAAATTGAGCACAAAATTATTTTTAAAAGGCAACCATCGGTCATTTACCAATGCTTACAACATTCAGGTTTCCAGATTTAAAACGGTACACTTTATACCACACGAACTCCTTATTCAGCTTTCCCTCCCATTAATTTGGAAAAAAAAAAAAAATACAATGCAGGAAGAAGCACTGAGGCCATGGAAATTTTGACTCCCTTAGCTTCACAGGCAATAAGACTGAACCAGCCTTCATGGATACTTACGGAAGAGCTAACATGCGTGTGTGAGGCCTGTGTGTAAAGCTGTGAAAGGCAGCTACAATTACAAGGGGCTTACAGGAGAGTTAACACCAGAAACACAAAGCCAACCCTCCAAAATAGAAGAGAGGTAAGGAAGAGTGTAGGGGCTCCTGAATATTAATTTACTAAACTTACCCATCTAACTTCAAAAATATATATGAACTTCAAATGAATAAATCCATTCAGGAAACTCTTACTAACTCCTGATTAAAAATAAAGTACTGTGTTAGGTATTCAGTGAATGTAGGCAAACTCTTTAAAAAAGAAAACCTATAGGCCGGGCGCAGTGGCTCACGCCTATAATACCAGCACTTTGGGAGGCGACTGGATCACAAGGTCAAGAGATCGAGACCATCCTGGTCAACATGGTGAAACCCCGTCTCTACTAAAAATACAAAAATTAGCTGGGCATGGTGGCGTGTGCCTGTAGTCCTAGCTACTCGGGAGGCTGAGGTAGGAGAATTGCTTGAACTCAGGAGGCAGAGGTTGCTGTGAGCCAAGATCGCGCCATTGCACTCCAGCCTGGGTAACAAGAGCAAAACTCCGTCTCAAAAAAAAGAAAAAAGAAAACTTATAAATATATGTGCTTTTAAGTTACAGTGAATGAGAATAAGATGCCAACATAAATGCCATTCCCTATGAATAAACAACAACCAGTGTCCCTCTCAAACGCCATTATGGATTTTAAATCCAAGAGTGAATTTTAATGGTAATGACTGCATAGAATTCTCTGTCATATTTGGGCTGAAAGGTGGAACACATTTGTCTTTATCTCATATTTTCCAGACTAGACCAAGCTGGCAGTCACAGACATGGCTCTAGAGTCAGTCAGGATAGAATCAGGGCTTCACCACAGAGCAGCTGGTAGCTTTTGCAGGGCATTTAACTGAGCTCCTGGCCTTAGTTTCCGCATCTGAAAAACAGGGATGCACAGCAACACCACCTTCATAGTTGTGAGAATTAAACAACACATGAAATTTTAGTGTGAAGCCTAGCATAGAAGTGTTAGTAATGCTGGCTCAGATTATTAATGAGTAATTTTAATCTTAGTATAAATTGGCATCACTCAAGCATTCCCAAATATGAGGCCCTAATTATAGTAGAAACACCTAATAAAGCAGAAACAGAAATTTCACGAGGCCTTAAAAAAATGAAAACAAAATGTGACCTGTGGTTGCGGTGAAGAACCCTCTCATCTCATTTACTCCCACAGGGCTAGAGCCCTGGCCTCAACCCTCCACTAACCCAAGGACTGGGGAACACAAAATTCTGCATTCTAGACCAACAAGTAACAAGAATGGAATTCCCCTCTTCCCTTCTCTTGCTCCCATTTCTTTATAATAGAAGAAAGATAAAACTACTGGACTTCCTTTGACAGTTTATTTTCAGTAAGCATTTCTTATCTTTGTAAGCCAAAACTAGGTTCCAAGAAGTCAGGGCCCTCACTTGACTAATTCAGTAAAGCACTGAATGAACACCCTGTGCCATGCCTGCTGCTAGGCACAGGGTGTCAAGGAATGCACAGGACAGTCTCTCCTGGAAGTCCAATGGGAGCAGCAGACCATATGGGAGTAAAGAAATCACTGTCTGAAGTGCATGCTAGGAAGGACCTTGAAAGTCCATGTTTGACCCCCTCTCTACCTGACTGCTCTCCACTGACAGCCTAGTGTAAGTGACAGGCTCTCAACTCAGGGTTCTTGGTGAGAAGGGCTCCAAGCTGCTCAATACAAGCAAGCTAAGGGTCATGTAAGACAGTGTGCAGGCAGAACACCCCACCCAGAGGAGACAGTGGAAAGCCACAGAAAGGTAGAATTTTAAATACCAAATCAATAGGAATCAGCAGACCAAGTTCTCCCTACAATTCTGTTTCAGAAAGAAATCTCAGGACAGTTTTCTAAAGACAAGTTACTAAATCTACTAACTGGAAAATCATTGAGGAAGAAAGTAAGTCTGATAAATATGGGTAGAATCTTAAAACATGAGCATAATAGGAAAGAATTCAATAAATGTGAATTACTGTGACTGATATTAGTATAGGAAATAGGAACCAAACTATATTCTTGAAACATAAATATGACTTGGAACAGAGACTATATTTGTTAAGATTTCCTTTTAAGAAAGTTAAATACTTCATTATTTGATACCCTAGTACCTGGCGTCTGCTCTAAGAATACGTAATGTTGGTACTTCCCATTTTACCAAAGCCCTCGTGGAAAGAGTTTGAGTTCATTTAAAACCATTTTGCCTAAAAATCAGCCAAGAGCATTTGAAAATCCACTGAATGAAGACCAAAACTGGTCTACCAAGGCAAGCAGGAATGAGAGTTTCACTCTAATCAGACAGGACACTACAGGTTCCAAACCTTCTTCCTCAGCAGAGTAAGGGACTCTTTAATTTTATCAACCAGGTCCTCGTTCTTCCCATCAAATTTCAGTCCAAGTTTCCATTGCCTGATCCAGTTGTATTTGCTTATAAGTTTTTCTGGCAACTAGAACACCGAGAAACAAAGAGATAAAGAGTTGTTAACATTCCAAGAAATCCACCACATGCTCTAAGCTGCAAGAAACCACAAAGTCTGTGAAACCTACCTTTGTTTCCAGAATTAATCCTGCAAATCTGTCATGTGGGTTTAGGATGGAGGACCTAAATCTACAAGTCAGGAACTTAGAAAGTACCACCCTGAAGAGGGCTGCTGGAGTGAAATGGTGCTTTTGGTTGAGATGCCAAAGCACAGTCTGCCTTGCAGGACTCCAACCATGGCCAGGACATTCCACAGCAGTTGTACAGATGAGCTAAGGCCATGCCCACAGCACACGTCCTCACACCCAACACCTTCAGGCTCAGGGCTCACTGCAGCCTCTCAACCACCACCAAAACATGGCTCAGGACAGTGCTTCTGAGCATGTGAGGTCCAGGGTGAAGTCAAACCTGCTCCTTACCCAGTAAGAAAAATAAAATCTAGTTTCTGGTACTTAAAAAAATCTACCAAAAAAAGGGTAGAAAAAGACCTTTTTGTTAAATAATGTTAACACATGTACTCAAAGTTTTAACATTCGGAGAAATTATATTAGGACTAGTTTAACTGTCTAATTGATATATTAAGATAAAACATACAATTAAGGGAGCTGTGATCACTTAGTTCAGGAAAGAACTGACAGCTGAACTCCTACAATGCTGGTTTCCCTTTGTTTATTCCTAGAGTATTTGTTACTTTGTTTCCCTCTAGTTATCAGCAGAATCTGCATTTTAAAGGCAAGTGGAGACCCAATCTGACTGATGACAGCATAGGAAGTGAGACTCTTCCAACAGTCCTGATGTGTCAGGAGAAAAATCATAGAATTGGGCTGGGCATAGGTGTATCACTCCACTGCTACAAAATTTACAAAGGATATCAACAAGTCAACAGATCATTAAAGAATAATTAAATCCTACAATTCCTACAAGGAACCTGACCTTGTTTAGCCGTTTTTAATACAGTTTGGCCAGTCCAGGCAACATAGCAAGACCCCATATCTATAAAAAAAAATTTTTTTTAATTCCCTGGGCACAGTGGCATGTGCCTGTATTCCCAGCTACTCAGGAGGCTGAGGCAGGAAGATCACTTGAGCCCAGGAGTTTGAGGTTACAGTTAGTTATGACTGCACCATTGTACTTTAGTCTGAGCAACAGAGCAAGACTCCATCTCTTAAAAAGAAATAATTTATACAGCAAGAAAGAAATGAATAAAAATAAATACATAAAATAAAATAAATACAGTTTTAAATGAGGCTGTTATCTTCCGTTCTACTAGAATGTAATACTAAAAGACCCTTTCATGAATACTAATTCTAGTTGTACCTTCTCAACCTATAGCAATCACGTGAAACTAAGGTGGTTTCTACAAAACATAGAACCACAACTGGAATGTAAATTACTTTTCACTGTGACCACAGTGATGGCGAATTATATCACTCACTAAGGTGGGGAGGGGGCCTTCTCCTCTTCATCTTATTAGAGTAACAAATGACCACCCATCTAAGAGCTGCACCAGCCCACTCCTTGCCAACACTGCCCCGCATTTTAGCAACATGTAGCAGCTGCAGCAAAACCCTCAATTTGGTCTCAGATTTATCACAAGAACCTCGCATGCCCTCAAGTGGCAACAAGCTAAAATTACAACTGGGCACAGAGAACTACAAATGAGCAGAAAATACTAGCTACACAGATGTGAGGTGGGAAAGGAGGTGAAGGGAAGCGCAGAAGATCAGCTGAGCATCTGGAGACAGTATACAGTTACCTAAAAAGTAGGTGCAGTACTCAACTGAATTACTCAGGAGAACCCTGAAGACCTCACTATACAGAGAGAAACAATTGTTTCTTATTTCTTTCACACATTGGTCAAACAATTCAGGGTTGTATGCTTCCAGGAAATGCAGAAATCCTTAAGACAATTTTTAAAAACCAAGCATGAAAAAAAGAAGCCATCAGAAAGGAATGAAGTCAAATTTATTCAGAGAGTGAATACAACTTTAAATGCTTTCAAAGGTCACAGCACATGGAACACATGTGAATAGCCTTCATTTTCTTCCACTAAGCACAAACTGGAAAACTGGACTTCCATTAGAATAAAGAAAAGTTAAGCAAGAAACCAGATTTAAATAAGAAACAGTGATTGGAAATATTCAAGAATAAAGTAGGTAATTAGCTTAGGTGTCACTTCGTTTGTGACTGAACTATAAGACAGCCTGTTTTCTCTAATAAATGCCTGTAATTCTTGATACCACAACAGACAGCAAATAACAAAAATGTGTCATCCCCAAAACTAACTCACAAAAACATCTGATATATAGTCTATCCCACTCTAAGCAAACACTGTCACAGTCTAACCAGTTGAGAGACATTATAAAATGTAGCGAAGTTGGAAATCAAAGGACTCCTGCTCTAAAGGATGTCCCCTCTCAGGAACCAAAGTGTTGTTCCACATTTTTTAGCCAGGCTAAGCAATCTCCATAGTTGGAGTGAGGGTCAGATGATCTGGCTGCAGCCAAACACAGAGACTGGGATCTGGACAGAAATTGGAACAACAAACAGGAAGCCCAGGCAGGATGACAGGAGGTGAGGGGCAGCCAAACTGTCAGAGCGGCAATAAGGACAAAGCTCCGCCTCACAGGCAGGGAACAGAGCAAGGCCAGCAAAGCTGGGCACCAGCAGAAAGGAAGCCTGGGTCCCCTTCACTGAGCACAGATTAAGGGAAGAGTCACTCATTTCAGCTTTTCCAGTTACCTTTAATACCCTAAAACCAAATGATGTTCTAAAAGAGAAGACAGCAAAATGCCACAGAGAACATCTCTCAATCTGCAAAAAGAAGCAGATAAAAGCTAGCTAAAGTTTCCACCCTGATTTCCTTCAGTCACACTGCAAGAAACACTCACTCGCTCAACAAAGCCCTTGTCACAGTGGGACTTCCAAGGGAAGGGTGGGGCATGAGGGGCAAAGTGAGAACAGGAACAGAAAGGTATCCACAGGAGGACCTGCAGGACACCTGAGAGATTTGCACAACCAGACTAAGATCACGGGTTCCTTCCTTCCTTCCTTCCTTCGCTGGCCCCTCAGACACAAAGCATGTGCTGAATTTGAATCTGTCATCCAATCATGTCTCAGACATGATACCACAAAATGAACTAGGTGAAGGAAGTTTTCAAACTATGTTAAATTGCTAAGGGCTGGAACAGCAAAACAAGGACAAGTTCTCTAGCTGCATGAGAGCAAGGAAAGAACAAAGTCATTCTTCAGCTGACATTTAGACCCAAAGTTTAATAAACGTAAATACCAAACCCACACGCAGGTACACTGTGTTTTCTCTCCTTGACAGAGGCCTCCTGGCATTCAATAAAAATTAGATAACAAAAACCAAACCGCAGGGACCAAGAAATTAAATTATGCTCCCAGAAAAATGTAATAGCTGATACACATAAAAAAAGAAACTGAAAATAACACTTAAGAATTTTTAAACTATTTTCACAGTACTCAAATTAAGTCGGAAAAACCACCTTAAAACCCTATCACTCACCCATACAACATACTCTAACAGTGATAAGAGTTTGAATGTAATCTACCCAGACTATTTTTAATATGGCAGATGTTATTCAAATACATCTTGCTAGCAAAAAAAAAGGGGGGGGAGGCAGGGGGACATTGTACTTTACTTTTATTAAGCAATTTTATATGTTTAATTAATTACTTAGGACACCAGATTCTCAGAAAGCATAAAAATGCAAGTTTAATGTCAAGTAAGTCCATAACTCTAAACAGTTCCTTAAAGGCAAAGCCTCAAAAGGAAAACTTTGCCTATAATTAAGAAGGATACTATGTCACAATCTAGAAATATAGATTTGTAGATTAATATAAAATAGCTACAGTTGTCAGGGGCACAGCCTCTTGAGTACCTAAGACTATAGGCACACGCCACCACAATCTAGAAATTGTGACATACTTAGCTACAGTTGTCAAGCACAGAAGTTACAACAAAGCAAAGCAAAAACAGTGAAATCATTGTTTGCTTCTCTAGCTGGGTCTTATATCCAATCATAGGAATGCTTTTGCCAACTGACAAACAATTCTGAAATATTTTACTAATAAATGTCATCATTTACAAAAGAAAAAATAGCCTAGTATATCCATTTCTCTTGCCTTTATGTGAAAGAAATAAGTTAATATTGAAAAATCTGTTTCAGATGGCATACTTCTTTGCTTGGAAGAAAATATCTTTCCCAGATGTTGGTTTTGCTTTTTTTTAATAGACTCCTCAACATTAAGGGATCTCCTTATGGTCCCCAGGCTGGCCTTGAACTCCTGACTCAAGTGATCCTCCCATCCCAGCCTCCTAAGTAGCTAATACTACAGGTACCACCACACTTGGCTCCAGATGTCATTTTAACAGTTGATATAGGTGTGCCAATTTTATACTGGTTTATTAAATAATCGTGGAACAGATGGGCAGTATCCTCCAACCATCAGTCCTGGTTTTGCCCTTTGGAACATGTGATCTCTCATCTACCTAAAAGACCTCTAGCTTAGCCAATAATAAGTTCTTCTGAAAGTCTTGTTTATTCTAGGAAAATACCTCAGCTCCTTCAACTGCTCCCAGCATGTGATGAAACATCCTGGCCACATTTCCACCTGTGGAGGATACAGGCACCAAGCTGGAGACGGGCTCTGACCAGCTCAGTTCAAGGTGGGGCTGTCACTCCATGTGGGGCTGTCATTGCCTAATTCTTAGAATCATTCCTTTTAAAATGCAGCCAGGTTGGTCTTTTTGCTTAACATACAAAACATGAAAATAATAAAAATAAAATTTAGCTACGGCTTTGTGATCATTGCTGGCCATCACACTTCATGCAGGATCATAGTGGCCTTGCAATCAATTAAAATCCTAACATCTTTTTCCTTCTCTTCATAAATTGCTATAAAGCCAATCTCCCACAGCTAGCACTTCCAGGTTTTGGATTTTTTTAAATTTAAGCATAAGACTTTCCATTTTCTTCCAGTTAATGTCATACTGTCATTTCTTTTTAATTTAAAAATATTTTGTTGGTTAAAAAAAAAAGCTAATGATCATCTGGGCCTTCAGCAAGTTGTAATCTTTTTGCTGGTGGAGGGTCTTGCTTTGATGTTAATGGCTGCTGACTGAGCAGGGTGGTGACTGTTGAACGTTGGGTAGCTGTGGTCATTTCTTTCTTTTTTAAAATTCCACTTTTATTTTAGATACAAAAGGTACGTATGCAGGTTTGTTACATGGGTATATTGCTATCTCTGACCAATCATTTCTGACCATAACCCTGAGACTATCACCCACCCGACTATGTGACTTTATGCATGTCAGGACATGCACAAACATGACTTCCCAGGGCATGTCTGCCATGTGATACATTTAAAACACTAAAGAGGGCCAGGCCCGGGACAGGCTGATTCTCAGCTCCTCAGGAAGCCCCACTCCATGGGACAGTAATCATCTCTCTAGTGTTGCTATTCAGCCACCTATTAAGCCATTTCTCACACTTTGCCAAAGGTACTAATTTATTGAATTATAGCTAAAAACTAAAGAAATGTGTATTCTAAATCCCTAGCAGGTTCTCAAATAGTAAAATATGCAGCCAACTTAATATAAACACAAAATTGAAATCTAGCTGTTCCTAAGTGCTTTTTACAAACGTCTGCACTCTAATTCAACTAAACTGTTCGTATAAATTTTATCATTTTTCTCTTCTGGGAAACATCAGTTATTTTTGGTCATTTTACTATGTGAAATCATCCCAGCCACACAAAACTGAATAAACCCACATGCTGACATGATACTGCAGACAATACTAGCAGGTAGCACGGACAGAAAGGGAAAGTTTTCTCACAAAAATTGTTTGAAACATTTTGGACTCAAACCTGCAGCAGCAGCGTACCAGCGTGAGCTCTGGGTCCTGCAGCCAGGGTGGCAGCCCAGCAGCCTGGCTCATGGCCTGGAACAACGTGGCCCTCAGTGCACAGTAATTATCACCACGGACTCGCCGTATGGAGGTGAACTTCTGAGAAACCTCCTCATAGCCCTGGGAAAAGGCATGAAAGAATTCAAAGTGGTCATTACTGACTTGAGATAGGAAGATTCATTCCTGTGGAAAAGACTAGGCCTGGAATCACTGGGAAGATGCCCAATGTTGGAGCTTTATGTCCCTTTCTAGGCAATTGTTGTAACACTTACTCACTGGCAACCAACATTTTGAAAGGTTTAATCTGCGTTTTAAGTGACCCTAAACTCCTTAACAAAAAGGCAAGAAAAAAAGAGAGACAAACTAAGTTTATATCTTCATATTAAGAAAATATAGAAAAATCTCAGCCGGGCGCGGTGGCTCAAGCCTGTAATCCCAGCATTTTGGGAGGCCGAGGCGGGTGGATCACGAGGTCTAGAGATCGAGACCATCCTGGTCAACATGGTGAAACCCCGTCTCTACTAAAAATACAAAAAATTAGCTGGGCATGGTGGCTCGTGCCTGTAATCCCAGCTACTCAGGAGGCTGAGGCAGGAGAATTGCCTGAACCCAGGAGGCGGAGGTTGCGGTGAGCCGAGATCGCGCCATTGCACTCCAGCCTGGGTAACAAGAGCGAAACTCCGTCTCAAAAAAAAAAAAAAAAAAAAAGAAAATATAGAAAAATCTCAAGTTTCTAAAAAACAAAGGGAGGCAGTGTGAGGGGTGGGGGTGCTGTGTATATGTGCATGTATAACATAAGTCTATATGCCAGGAGATGGCTGAAAAATAATTCTGTTAGGCTTTTCTTTTTTTTTTTTTGAGACGGAGTTTCGCTCTTGTTGCCCCAGGCTGGAGTGAAGTGGGACAATCTTGGCTCACTGCAACCTCCCGGGTTCAAGCAATTTTCCTGCCTCAGTCTCCTGAGTAGCTAGGATTACAGGCACACACCACCACGCCCAGCTAATTTTTTTCTATTTTTAGTAGAGACGGGATTTCATCATGTTGGCCAGGCTGATCTCGAGCTCCTGACCTCAGGTGATCCACCTGCCTCAGCCTCCCAAAGTGCAGGGATTACAGGCATGAGGCACCAGGCCCGGCCTTTTTTTCTTTTTTTTAAGCGAAATGAAGTGTCACTCTTGCTCAGTCTGGAAGTGAAACAAGGAAATGAAAATGTTCAGTGGCATGCTTGGGCACTCAAAAATAGCAATCCAAATGGATATTCTGAAATGTACCCTGAAAAGACACCATAAAATCCTAGTGACTCTGATCCCCCAGCAGGCATGGTGCCTGGCTTCTCCAGCTAGACACATGCACAGTCCTTGGGACTGACTTAAGTGCCTTGTCACCTCCCTGGCCCTGAGTCCAGTCAGCCCTTTAACTCATCCCAGTCTTCCTTGACAGTCACTCAAGACCCACTTCCTACCCTGCACTCACACAAAGAAAGAAGTGGTATCCGCATCAAGGAGTGGGCGCAATGCAGACCACCTCTGTCCTGGGTGTCCAGATACTAGAACCTTATCATTAGCTATTTTCAAGGTTCAAGTCATAGGATAATGTTTTAAATGAATATAAAAGTACTTTTTTTCCCCAACAATAACATTTTGAGAGTTGCATTCTTATTCAGTGGTCAAACCACTGTAACACATAAGGTTCCATCAGGCAGAATCACACCTACTAATAATTATGCACTTCTTGCCTACGGTAAACCTCAATTACCCCAGAATACTTAAGATGGCAAATTCAACTGCAATTGTACCTTTCCAAATGCATAAATTACTCATCTATTTCAGAATAAAATTAAATCTGGCTTTGTATAAACTTACTTCCTAAAGAATATTCAAAACAAAAATAAATAATTACACAAATAAGGACTAAAATAGAACAGAGGTGAAAGCTGTTTTCAGGTATCTGAGATATCTAATTACTGCCATGGGTCCTGATGATATAGGGCTATAGGCTAGAAAATCTGCAAGTGACCAACAGCATAGTCAGCAAAAATATAAATGTTCTTAACCTCTGGCAGGAGCTAAGAGTCCCAGGTATTTCATAATTGAGTTATTTAACAAGTGCCTAAAAACACAAAGCATCTACATATCGGATTTGCAGAGAGCTATCACCTTCTCTCAGAGCTTTATAAGTGGCAGCTAGATTTTTACTAAGGTCAGCCCATGGGCAGTCGAAGTACATGCTGAAAGATGAGCAATATTTTCTATAAAAATGAGCTCTAAGGAAAAGACTAAATATTCAAAAATTTAAAAATTTAAAATCCTAACCAAAAAAAATTTAAAGGTATTTCTATTAAATATGATGGTCAGTATCTCTAACGTAAAAGCGCATTCAAATTCATAATGTAAATAATCCCAAGAGAAAAATGAGCAAAAGATAAACCCAGAGGTTTCAGGAGGTCATGGAAGTCTTGGGTTAAATCTGCTATTTGACTATTTTTGAGCTATTCACATGGTTCATCCTACCGATAATATTGGATTTGGTATATATCTGAGGGTAGAGCCCACAGGGTCTGCTGCTTGATCAGCTGTGTAATGTATGTTGGCCAGGTGACTGAGCTGAGTAATGAACTGGCCCAAAGAGCCGCAGCAGGACCACATCATACAAGTCCCCAATGTCATCCCACAGCCTTGGGAACTATCTTCGAGACACCAATCTATACAATGAGATTGGGAGGGGGCAGCTCCTGGGACACCTTAAATGAAAGAAGTAATTCCTGATTTTCCTGTGTAGGGAGTGCAAGAAGGTTCTAAGCCCCAGGACTGGCAGGTGTGTAAGCAAACCCAATGTGCTGTGGGAAGCAGGAGTGTGGAATAGGCCTGAGGCATCCCTGAGGCTTTTATTTTACAATACCAGGCCAAAAAGGGCATTCCCAAATGGCCCCAAGAGGATATCCAATGGCTGGCCCTATCTGAACAGCAGAGTCAGATGTTTTTCCAAGAAATTAAGTTACTGAGTAACTGATGCTGATTCTATACTAATATTGTGACTTAAAACAAATCCCTTATCTTTGGAGTCTATTTCCTTATCTCTAAAATTAGAACATCAATAATAAAGTCTATAGCAGTCATCTTAACTAATGTCTAAAAATATCAAATGACATAACAACTTACGAGAGACTATTTGAAAGACCTGAAATACGTGCATCTGTGTCATACCTTTTTCATACATGTTGCTTTCTGTGTATTTCCCCTCCATTCTTTTTTGCAGTAGTCCATGATATCCATTTCAGGAGCTACACTTAATCTTGGTTCTGTTAAAGAATTTAAAAAAAAAAAAAAAGCAAATAATAAATCAAAGCATAATCAGAATACTGCTTTAGTTGGGGGTTACCCTTCCCTCTTCATTTTCTTTCTTCATGCCAAAAAATCCAGAATTCAACCACTGCCTACCCCCTGGTCCAGACCACCATTACCTCATCCCTGAATAACCACGGTGGTCTCCCAATGGGTGTCCCTTGTCACCACACTCTCCAGACCATTCGCCACATGGTGGCTAGCCAGGATGACACATCTAAACATGAGTCAGATGGTTTTGATCACTCCTGGGCTCACAGAGCTCCAGAGGCTCCTGCCTCATGGCCTTATTCATCATACAGTCCCCCTCTCTGCCTCTCTGGTCTCTGCTCCCACCATTCCCCACACTGACAGGGCTACATCCTCCCAATACTCTCCAGCATTCCTGGCTTGCTCTTCCCCACACCTGCAACGCTGCTCCCTCCCTCCATGTAGGCCTCTGCTCCAGAGTCAGCAGGCACCTTGTGTTATAGTATCACACACACTTTTGCTCTCTATTCCTTTTATACTATTTGGTTTTTCTTCTTAGCACTCATCAATACCTGAAATCCTTTTCTGTACCACCCCATCACCCCCACACACAAATACACACCCATACAAAAATACAGTAAAACACAAGCTCCTTGAAGGCAGGGACTTTGTTTTGTTTCCCAGCTGTGTTATGTCCTCAGCATGTGGAGCTGCACTGACACACAAGTGCTCATGAATTCTGTTCTAATCAAATTAAAGATGTGACAGTTTGAACTATGAGAAACACTTCTAAAAATGAGTAGTTTTTTTATAACCATTTTACAAAGAAATAACACCTACTATAACAAAAATTACATTTAATTATCTTGATGTATTTATGTACTACCCTGATCCCAAAAAGCTGTAAGTAGTCGATAATAAACGAGAAACTAACAGAACTCTCCATGTCTGTTAATCCATGGACCTCACCTGACTCTAACAACACATCCCCCAAAATTAAAAATACAACTCACCATCAGATAAATGTTATAGTTTTTTTTTTAAAAAAAAAAAAAGGCCTTTAGATTTTCCTAGTTCAATGTACACGGTTTTGGGTTTTTGTGGTACATGCATATACACACACATGTGCATATAAGCACGTGTGTTTTAGGAAGAAAAGGAGGTAAATTCTTTGGCACATCTCAACTTCCTTTTTAAATTATTGAAGGTGTAGCTGCTAGCAATGATTTTAGAATATAAATATGGAAGTACCTTACAACATATTTACTCCTGAGCAAATTGTACATGAAATAAATGTTTTATTTAACTAAATTCAACAAATATTTACCGAGTGCCTAAAATGTACCAAACACTGAGCTAGGAACTGGGAATACAAGGTGATGAAGATAGGATTCTATCCTCAAGGGCCTTATGGATTACCGAAGAAAAGACAACAAGCGCTTATAAACCACGGTGTGATGGGTATTAGGATGATTAGGAGCACAAAATCCTCCTTGCAGGTTAGGTAAATTTTTTTTTTTAATTTTTTTAGGTAAACTCTTAAGGACTGCTAATTTTTTAAAATCTCATTGTGAATCTTTTTATAAAGAAAAGTAATCTTTTACATAAAAGGGAAAACAATACATATACAGATAGCATAGACATATTTATTTGTGGCATACATTAAAAGCAAAGCAGGCTCCTGAGGTATAATATATAAAGACAATGAAGACCAATGCTGCACAGCCAATCCTTAAAGAACGAACCTTCTTTTTTTTTTTTTAATTCAAGAAATACTTTTTGCATGTCTGCTTGGTGGATGGACGCATTCTCATGTATCCGTCTTTCCATTCACCTGCCCAAAAGGGAAGAAATGCAAACATCCAGAATCAGGACCTATTGGTCCCCATTGTTCCTCCAGGTAGGGTTATGAGCCTGAACAGAAAGCACATGCCCAGCTCAGAAAGGGCCTCCTGGAAAGGAAATCTACATTCCTGCTCTCCTCCCTGCAGTACTCATTCTTGTGCACATCAAGATAAGACCTGGCCACCAGAACAGGGTGGGGCAAGCCCAGCACCTCAGGACTGAGGAGAGGAGGCACAAGCCCTCACACAGGCCAAGAGACCAAGCCACAGGCCATAATCAAGTGCTGAATCAGAGGCCTATGTGGGGCTGTGAGGGTTGGGAAAATGGGTACCAGCACAGCTGGCAGCATCAAATACCTGAATTCCCATTCTACTGTGGTCCTCTGTAAGGAGGACTCCAATGGCTACTACATGCCAGGTACCAGGCTAGGAGCTGGAGATGAAGGACAAGGCTGTACCTGACCTCAAGCAGTTTACGGAGTTAAACAGCACCTTTCTTTAGTTGCAAACTACACAGACTCTGCCATTTTCAAAAAAGGACATTTCGAAAGGCAAGAAAATAAAAAACAGAAAAATAAGGAAGTTGAAAACCAGAGTGGTAAAGCCAGGAGTTGAAATAACAAAGAGGACTGACCTTTAACCACCACATGGGTGACAAAGACAAGAATCAGATCCCCAGAAGATGGGACGTTAAAACTGAAACCCCTCCGGAAAGCAGGGACTCTCAAACAGAGGGTAGAATAAGACAGGAATCTCAATCTTTGTCTGTAATGGGCCAGACAGGAAATAAAACTTAAGGGTTTGAGGGCCATAAGGTTTCTGTCACAGCTACTCAACTTTACCACACATGAAAGCCACCACAGACAATAGGTAATCCCAGCACTTTGGGAGGCCGAAGCAGGCAGATCACGAGGTCAGAAGTTAGAGACCAGCCTGACCAACATAGTGAAACCCCATCTCTACTAAAAATACAAAAATTAGTCGGGCGTGATGGCATGTGCCTGTAATCCCAGCTACTCAGGAGGCTGAGACAGGAGAATCACTTGAACCCAGGAAGTGGAAGGTGCAGTGAGCCGAGATCATGCCACTGCAGGCCAGCCTGGGCGACGGAGCAAGACTCTGTCTCAAAAAAAAAGAAAGAAAGAAAAAATTTTATTTATAAAACCAGGTGGTAAGTCAGATTTGGCCTCAAAGCCATAATTTGCCAACTCCCAGGTACGGTGGAAAAAATCTTTTCCCTAACAGAGAGGATAAGAAAACTTTCTGCTCAGTCTGGGCTCTGCTTCAGGGGAGAGGGTAGTAAATATTATTTCAGGAAGGACACTGAACCCAGAAGGTCTGAGATGCAAGGAGTGTAAGGGGATCCATTTCACTCTCAGACTAAAGCTAGGAGTTACAAGACCCACTATGAAGCCTAATTGCCTATGTGGGGTACAATGCCAGACAGAAGAGAATCACAACAGAAAGCCTATAGACTGTCAGCAGGTTAACAAACACCAGCTGAATATGCACTTTCTTCTTAGGAATCTAACTAATGAGGACACTGCACCCTATATGAAATTTTGAGCAACCACAGCAATAGAGACTAAGCATTCTCTGAAGTTTCATGGAAGACTGAAAACAGTGCAGCCCCAGAACACACCACCACAAAGAGTATCTCCTGTGGCTACCACAGTGAAGTGTTCACCAATTTCTTGAGAAAGGTTCAAAAAGTATTATAAAAACCACACTGTGTATCATTTGTTCCTAATCACATATGGCAATGCTTTTGTTCGCCATAAACAGAAGCTAGTTCTCAAAACCAGAACACAGACAAGGGTCTTCTAAGGTTCATGGAAAATGAGTTTTATGAAAAAGCTACGGATGGATTTCAATTTTTTTTGGTGCCATGATAAACTCAAACTAACTTTTTATAACACGTATGAACAGAATCCAGTCTAAAGCACTGAGAAAGATAAGACATCAGTTTGAAAAGAGCCCCCGTTAGAGCAACATGAGTTCTGCTAAAATTTAAGCAAGAAAAAACACCAAATTTATGGTGAGGCATGGGCAAAAGAACGATGAAATCACTTATGATTTATCAACAGTTTATAAGGACAATGCCCCAAAGAAATCAGCAGCTTACAAATGGATAACTCGTTTTCCTAAGGGACATAATGATGCTGAGGATGAAACCTGCAGTGTCAGACCATCCATATCAATTCAGGAGGAAAATATTAATCTTGCTGGTGTCCTAATTGAAGGGAACCAACAATTAACAGCAGAAACAATAGCCAACATCATAGACATCTCAACTGGTTCAGCTTACATAATTCTCACTAAAAAATTACAGTTGCGCAAACTTTCCACTCCATAGGTGCCAAAACCCCTGTTTCCAGATTAGCTGCTGACAGAAGCAAAGCTTTCATAGGAAATTTTAAACAAGTGGGATCAAGACCCCGAAGCATTTCTTCAAAGAATTGCAATGGGAGATGAAACCTGGCTTCACCAGTACGATCCTGAAGACAAAGCACAACCCAAGCCATGGCCACCAAGAGGTGGAAGGGATCCAGTCAAAACAGAAGCAGACTGGTCAAGAGCAAAGGTCAGGGCAACAGTTTTTTGGAATATTGAAATATTTTGTTTGTTGACTTTCTGAAGGGCCAAAGGACAATTAACATCTGCTTATTCTGAGAGTGTTCTGAGAAAGCAAAAGCTTTAGCAGAAAAATGCCAGAGAAAGCTTCACCAAGAGTCCTTCTCCATCACAACAATGCTCCTACTCCTTCCTCTCAAACAAGGGCAAGAGTTTTGATGAGAAATCATTAGGCAACCACCTTACAGTCCTGATTTGGCTCCTTCTGACTTCGTTTTGTTTCCGAATCTTAAGAAGCCTTTAAAAAAGGACACAAATTTTTCTTCAGCTTGTAATGTAAAAAAGACTGCTACATTCACATCATTAAATTCCCAGGCCTGTCAGTTCTTTAGGGATGAGTTCAACAAATGGCTGGTATCATCATTTAAAAGTGGCTTAAAACTGATGGAGCTTAGGTTGAGAAATAAAGTGCATATATATATATATATATATACATATATATATACACACACTTTTTTTTTTGAGACAGGGTCTCGCTGTTACCCAGGGTGGAGTGCAGCAATGCGATCATGGCTCACTACAGCCTCACACTCCCACCACAGGAGGAAGTGGTCCTCCCACCACAGCCTCCTGAGTAGCTGGCACCATAAGCATGCACCACCACACCTGACTAATTTTTGTATTTTTTTTGTATAAACAGGGTCTCCTTGTTTGCCCAGGCTGGTCTCAAACTCCTGGACTCAAGCAATCCACCCACCTCCGCCTCCCCAAGTGCTAGGACTACAGGTATGATCTACCATACCCAGCCTTCTAGCTTTTAATTCCATTTTTCCATAACCTTTTTTATAGTCTTCTTATACATTAGTCATGTTAATGAGAGAGAAAATGCCACTTGTAATTATTCATGGAGTATCCCAAAATCAGAGTTATTTCTATGTGGCTCCTGCATGAGGGCAGTCAGGGAACTAAGGATGTACATCACATGCAACCTTGCCAGCCAAGTCTCCATGGACCAGTGGAGGGGGCCAAGAGTAACACCTCACTCCAGCAGCAATGAATCCTAGTAGGGGTAAGATCAGGCAAGACAAGAAAAACACAGACATGAAATCACAAAACGATGAGACTCTGTGCTACTGATCCCATCACTGTCTTTCTTATTACTTAATCACATTCATATGGCTATCTGCATACAAAGATGCGCATAGCCAGTCTCTCAGTGAAGTCTTTCTATTTGAAATGAAAAATGCGCTTCAAATCTGAACTCTCCCTCTAAAAATATAAGGAAATCAAGAACAGAGAGAGGATGGTGTCAAGACATTAAACAAAATAATCCTCACAGGGGCAAAAAATGATATGAATGTAAAGAATGCAGAGGGAATGCTTGCATTAAAATTTAAAAACCTCAGGCAACAACAGTCTCTAAACATACCTCACCAAAACAAATAATCAATATTGATAAGACCATATACATAAGAATATTTCCTAAGAAGTACACATTAATATTTTATGAAAATGGATATACTGATTTAACTGCATTTTCTGCTATAAATAAGAACTCTATAAATAAAACAATTCCAAACATACCTGATGCCCCTCTTTCATGTATAAGCAATTCTTTTTCCTTTTCTATTTCATCTGCAGCACGGTACATGTCCTCCTCACTGAAATCACACCAAAGCAGACATTTTCACTTGTTGCACTGACATTTTCCGTCCTATTACACAGCTGCTTATAAAATGCATAATACACTAAGGATTTAACTTTTTTCATTTTACATGATGATAATCTGATATAATATGGGTCTTACGTGTTAAGGATAAAGATGAATATGCTTCTATTACATCACTTTCTTCTACTTCAGAATTTCTTACTTTAAATAAGACAAGTTACATCACTTCATTTGCTACATGGTTCTGAGGTCATTTTATTTGTAATGCCTATTAATGCTTCAACTATGTATCTAGACATCATAGCATGCATCTTATTAGTGAAGCTCCTGAACTGATTCTGTCAAGTTCCAAGAATGGAGATAGTGCTGGTAAAAGTATTTATATAGGAATGCAGGCCCATTGCCGACCTTTGTAACATGTCACAAGCAAACCCAACAACAGCTACCTTAAAAACAAGAAAAGACTACCAATTACAAATTGCCAAAGCTGAAAAACCTCCTCGAGCTCCTCCTGTTTCCTGGCCCCACATTCAACCAGCCGCTCATGCAGCTGTGGCATATATTCCCACTGTCCCACCACTACTGACTTCTTACTCAGAGTTTCCTTAAGAGTCTCTAGGGCTTTAGTTAACTAACAAGAGCCCATTAAGTACTACAAAGGGAAAAAATCCACTAGATGCTAGGCAATGATGAAGAATGGGACTTGTGGTTTGAAGACGCCTCCTTTTTCCCTCAAGATTCATCCGAAAATGACAATAAAGGGAAATAGAAAAACCAACTCTCTCTTTCATGAAACCAGAAGACAGGTGAACGTCTGAAGAGGTGGAAAGCAGATGAAATGATAAATGACACGGGACAGGGAAGCCAAGGCTGGTGGATGGGCACAGGCGGAAGGCAAGCCAGAAAACCTGGCAGAACTCCAGAAAGGCTCAGAAATCGGATGCACCAAGTCTTTCAGGGAGCATGAGAAACACACTGAGCAGAAAACAAAGAGAACTGCTGATGTTCACATAGCAATGATCAGACCTCCAATTCCCCATACTTCTGCCTCATGAAAGCATACCCAATCCTCACATAAGGCTGCAGACTCAATGAAACACATGAAGGAGGAGGTGCCAGGCTAAAAACAAAAAAAGAAATTCAGTGAATGACTGAGATACCCCTACCCCCAATTCCCTCACCACCCTAGCTCCTGGTACGTGGCCTAGTATAGCTGGAGGAAAGAGGAAGGGGTCAGAGGGCAAGAAACAGATGAAGAAAAGGTACTGTGAGGGGCAGACTGTGGAAGGGAGTCTCACATGTCCCCATTAAAACCTCTCAGTGGTGTCCAAACACTCAGAAAACTAACATCAAAATTATGACCTTACCCACCACTCTAGCCTGCATCACATTATTTCCCTATGCACTACTCACACTTCAGTCCAAACGCCCGACCAACACTATCGTGCGCCTGCACATTTGTGATTCACTCATATATTCCCTCTTCCTGAATGGTCCACAATTCTTGACCTGCCCACTGCCTAACATGTCACAATGCATGCCATTTGGGTAAGCCCCCTGCAGAGTGCAAGGGTTAGAATGGGGACCCAGGAATTAGACTGCCAGGGTTTATTTAACTAGTCCTCATTCCAGCCCTTATTAGCTGTATGACTAGAGTAACTACACCTCTCGGCATCTAGATTTAACCACCTGTCAAAATGGCAGTAGCCCTTTACTCACCTCAAAGAGCTACTGTTAAGAAACAGATACATGGAAAATAATTAGCACTCAAAATTAAGTTAACTGTTCTTATTAATTCTCATTTTATGCCCACTGGTGCAAAGTATTAATGAACAACCTGACCAATGATCATTTTTTATTTGTTTCTCTCTAAATATGTAACTGTGTGTATTTTTAAAGTGTGGGGATGAGGGAACAAGTATCAGGAAAAGGTACTTTCCATGTGCTCTTGCTTCCAGTGAGATTTCAAGTAAAAAGTGTGATGTCACCCTTGGAGCCCATGCCAGAGTTAAAAACAAACAGAAACCTGATTCATGGGGACCATACATCAAAGGCCTAAAATAAAAAGTGACCAAATATGTTTGTTCTTCTCTTAATAATTTAACAACATCTTTCAGTCTCCTTCCTGGCTTTATAAGAGACAAACAGACAAATTCTAATCCTGTAGAACAGTCATTTCAGCAAATTACTTTCAATGGTATCATTATCGGAAGCATACCTTTGGGCAAACCACTTGCCCAACCTTGGCCTCAGTTTTCTCATCTTCAAAATGAGAAGACAGGAAGAGGCCATATAAGCTACATGGTTCCTCTTCCAGTTCTTTAGTCTAAGTCTATGAATATATTTGTCATGAAAATTGTACTTTGAACGAAAGTGGCTATACTGCATGTACATTTGGCTCCACTTTTGTTTTCTTCCTTTTTAATCTACAAAATAACCGAAATCCAAAACCAATACCCGGAGGAGATTCTCTAAACAAGCGACTCTCCATCCCACAAATATAAATTCCCATGAAGGCCAAATAGGAAAGGAAAGAAAGAAACAACAGAACTAAATGCAAAGCGAAGCTGAATGGGAAATTGCTGGAAATAAAAAGCAGTGATTTAGGATACAGGAAAAAAGCAAAGCAGAAACAGAGTAAGAGAACCAGAGTATATTCAAATTGCTTTAACCACAACTGGATTTCACTCAGATCCTGTGTGTGAACATTTGCTAACTTGATGGCCACCAAGGACATACAGAAAATGTAATATCACCTTTACTGAAGGCCACCATTAAAATAAAAATAACCCTGCTTGAAGCCAGGAGTTCAGTATCAGCCTGGGCAATAAAGCAAGACCCCACGTCTACAAAAAAAAAAAAAAAAAAATCCGTTGGGTGTGCTGGCACTCACCTGTAATCCCCCCTACAGAGGAGACTGAAGAGAGAAGATCACTTAAGCCAGGAGTTGGAGGCTACAGTGAGCTATGATCACACCACTGCACTCCAGCCCAGGTGACTAAAAAAAATTAATTAACTAGTTAATTAATTGAATTTTAAAAAATAATCCAGAAGAATAAGTTTTAGGTTTGAGCAACGAATCTCAATCAATATATTCAGGAAGGAAGACAGTTCGCAGCCAGAATGAAATAGTTACCCATCTAAGATAAAGATAAGCAAAAAGAAAGGAAGAAAAGAAGAAACAGAGCAAAAAATAAAAATAAAAATGTTATTTTAAAAATGCGGCCGGGCGCGGTGGCTCACGCGTATAATCCCAGCACTTTGGGAGGCCGAGGTGGGTGGATCACCAGGTCAAGAGATTGAGACCATCCTGGTCAACATGGTGAAACCCCATCTCCACCAAAAAAAAAAAAAAAAAAAAAAAAAAAAAAAAACAAAGCTTCACTCTTTCCTTTTTATTGCTGAATAAAATTTCATCAAATAAAAAAAAATGCTTCACTCAATACACTTTTGCTTTAATTAAGTATTAAAATAATAAAGCTGAAAATAATGACAAAATGAAATTATACTAAAACCTGGGAATCTGAAACAGGTAGAGAGTTTAAGTTTTTGTTATGGGATGGGAAGATGATAAAACAATGAGAAGAACAGGGATTTGGTAACCTTTTGTGTGTCAAGTTGGGGTGGCAGTGGGGAGGTAGACACTCTGACACAGAAGAAACCACTGAAGCTCAATGACTCAGATGATCACCAGAGCAAAAAGGTCTATGTTAAAGAAAAGTTAAGCCAAAGTCTAAATGACTTTATTTCCTGGCAGTCACACTCAATTCCACAGTTAAAATTTGTTAAAGGATACAAATAAAGGGTAAAATTACAGTTAGATAGAAGGAGTAAGTTCTAGTGTTCTATACCATTGTAGGATGACTATAATTAATAATCTACAAGGCCGGACGCGGTGGCTCAAGCCTGTAATCCCAGCACTTTGGGAGGCCGAGGTGGGCGGATCACAAGGTCAAGAGATTGAGACCATCCTGGTCAACATGGTGAAACCCCGTCTCTATTAAAAATACAAAAAATTAGCTGGGCATGGTGGTGTGTGCCTGTAATCCCAGCTACTCGGGAGGCTGAGGCAGGAGAATTGCTCGAACCCAGGAGGCAGAGGTTGTGGTGAGCCGAGATCGTGCCATTGCACTCTAGCCTGAGTTAACAAGAGCGAAACTCCGTTTCAAAAAAAAAAAATAATAATAATAATAATAATAATAATCTACTATATAGATTGAAACGGCTAAGAGAAAGATACTAAACGTTCCCAAAAACAAAGAAATGATCAACGTTTGAGATGATGGACATGCTAATTACCCTGATCTGATCACTATAGTTATGTATATCAAAACATCATGTGCCCCATAAATACGTATAATTTAAAAATAAGTCAATTTAAAAATTATGTATATGTTTTTTGAGACAGGATCTCACTCTGTTGCTCAGACTAGAATGTGGCCATACAACCACAGCTCACCGCAACCTCGACCTCCTAGGCTCAAGCAGTCCTCCCACCTCAGCCACAAGTAGCTGGGACCACAGGTATGCACCACCACATCAAGCTAATTTTTTAAATTTTGTATAAATTCAGGGTCTCACTATGTTGCCCAGGATGGTCTTAAAGTCCTGGGGTCAAGAGATCCTCCTGCCTTGGTCTCCCAAAGAGCTGGGATTATAGGTATGGGCCATCACGCCTGCTAACAGTTCCTAATTAGAAAATTCTTAGTTTTGCACCATGGCATTATTTTAAACTGTATATGTATATTTTCAAGTTCCTATTAAACAATATTTACCTATTTTCTTTTTGTGTGTGTGGCAGAGTTTCGCTGTTGTCACCCAGGCTGGAGTGCAATGGCATACTGTCAGCTCACTGCAACCTCAGCCTCCGAGGTTCAAGCGATTCTCCTGCCTCAGCCTCCCAAGTAACTGGGATTATAGGTGTGTACTACCATGTCCAGCTAATTTTTATATTTTTAGTAGAGACTGGTTTTCACCACATTGGCCAGGCTG